GTCTCCTGCCTCCACCTCCCAAGTAGCTGGGACCACAGGCGCCCACCACAACGCCTGGCCATTTTTTGGTTGCAGCCATCATTGTTGCTTGGCGGGCCCGGGCTGGGGATTCAAACCTGCCACCCTAGGTGTACGTGGCTGGCACTCTAGCCGCTTGAGCCACAGGCGCCGAGCCTGAACTTCTGACTTTTAGTGATCAGCCTCAGAGTAGCTGGGGTTACAGGTGTGAGCCACCACACCCAGTGGTATTTGAGATTTTAAAGGAATGGGAAAAAATTCTTTTTTGTTTTTGGCTGCAGCTGGGTTTGAATCTGCCACCTCCGGCATATGGGGCCAGTGCCCTACTCCTTTGAACCACAGGTGCCACCTGGAAAAAATTCTTTTTTTAATTTAATTCAAAAGTTATTTATTCAATACCTCTCCTGCTGTTAACAAAACTGGCAACAGTGGCTGTAGCTCAAGTAGCTAAGGTACCAGCCACATACACCAGAGCTAGTGGGTTCGAATCCCACCAGGGCCCACCAAACAACAATGACAACTACAACCAAAAAACAGCCAGGCATTGCGGCAGGTGCCTGCAGTCCCAGCTACTTGGGAGGCAGAGGCAAGAGAATCACTTAAGCCCAGGAGTTGGAGGTTGCTGTGAGCTATGATGCCACAGCACTCCACCCAGGGCAACAGCTTGAGGCTCTGTCTAAAACAAAACAAAACAAAACAAAACAAAAAGACAGGCAACAGACCTTTACCCTGCCAATGCTAAGGCCTCCCTAAGCTTCTAGTTGACTCCCTCCATCCCAATTTCCACATAGCTGCTTAGTCTTAGCTCTAAACATAAGTCTGATCATGTTGTTCCTCCAGTAATTTCCACTGTCCTCAGGATAAAGTCAACCTCTGAAGGTGTACACAGCTTTTCATAAACTTGTCATGGCCTAAAAGGCCTGTCTCATCCCTTGCCACTCTTGCCCTTACCAACTGCCTGCATCCACATACCTCACTTTTCAAGGAATGCTGCTGCAGTTTCCCACAAACTTTCTCACAGATTCTCAAGTTGGTTCTTTGGCCTCTCCAACTGCTTCTAAAACTGGCCAACTCCTTTAAGACAGTTCTTTAAGGGCAGTGCCTGTGGCTCAGTAGGTAGGGCACCAGCCCCCTATACCGAGGGTGGTGAGTTTGAACCCAGCCCCAGACAAACTGCAACAAAAAATAGCCGGGCGTTGTGGCCAGCACCTGTAGTCCCAGCTACTGGGGAGGCTGAGGAAAGAGAATCGCCTAAGCCCAAGACTTGGAGGTTGCTGTGAGCTGTGATGCTACAGCACTCTACCAAGGCTGATTAAATGACGCTCTGTCTCTTAAAAAAAAAAAAAAATAGTTCCTTAAATACCATCCTGATCCCAAACAGATTAGATGCTCCTTCTATGTTTACTCCTCAACATCTGAAAATAGTTTTATCTTTTCAAAATTTCTGATTAGTAAATTGCTTGTACTTAGGAGTTCAAGACCAGCCTGAGCAAGAGTGAGACTTCATCTCTAAAAAGTAGGTGGCCATTGTGTCACCTGCCTACAGTCCCAGCTACTAGGGAGGCTGAGGCAAGAGGTTCACTTTGAGCCTGGAGTTTGAGGGTGCTGTGAGCTATCATGTCACCATGCTCTACTGAAGGTGACAAAATTAAGACACTGTTTCAAAAAATAAATAAATAATAAAATTTCTGATTAAAAAAAATATGTTCATAAAAATAAAAACATATAAAAGATAAAATGATAGGCAATTACTTACTCCATCAAAGGCAATCACTGCTAAAATTGTGGTCTCTCTATTCTCTATATTTTCAAATTCATATTACAAACTGATTTGTAACCTACTCTCTTAACAGCATGCCCTAATTATTTTCCCATGTGGATAAAAACAGATTTAAATCATTTTTTTTTTTAAACGAGCCTCAAGCTATCCCCCTGGGTAGAGTGCCATGGCCTCACCGCTCACAGCAACCTCCAACTCCTGGGCTCAAGCGAGTCTCCTGTCTCTGCCTCCCAAGTAGCTGGGACCACAGGCGCCTGCCACAACGCCTGGCTATTTTTTGGTTGCAGCCATTGTTGTTATTTGGCGGGTCCGGGCTGGATTCGAACCCGCCACCTTAGGTGTAGGTGGCTGGCGCCTTAGCCGCTTGAGCCACAGGCGCCGAGCCTCATTTTATTCTTAATTCTCTCCTAACTTTTTTTTAAGAGACCCTTGAGGTATGGTTGATTTTTAAATCTCCATTGCCCATAACTGTGCGGGGCATATAGTATTTGTTAAATGAGTTTCATCTAAAGAATAAACTTAACTTTCGGGTTAATAATGGAGTTCAAAAATCAGATTGTCACTTACAAGTATCAAGTGTAAAGCATTAATTTCTTGATCATATTTGCAAACACAGTCTGTTGAATTAACTCGTTAATCAAAAAGTCGTAAATCTGCCTTAAATTCTTCCTTTCTTTTTTTTTTTTTTAAATTCTTATTTTTTTTGAGACAAAGACTCAGTATGTCGTCCTCGGTAGAGTGCTGTGGCGTCACAGCTCACAGCAACCTCAAAATCCTGGGCTTACGCGATTCTCTTGTCTCAGCCTCCGGAGTAGCTAGGACTACAGGCGCCCACCACAACGCCCGGCTATTTTTTGTTGCAGTTATCATTGTTGTTTAGGTGGCCCAGGCCATGTTGGAACCCTCCAGCCTAAGTGTATGTGGCTGGAGCCGTAACCACTGAGCTACGGGAGCCGACCCCTTAAATTCTTTCTGAAAGAAAAGCAAAGTAAGTGCAAACGAAATACGGACACCAAGCTCTGAGAGACGCGTTATCTTTCCCGTGCTGGAGAAGGGAGGAAGCATGACCTTGAGAGTCAGGCATAAATACGGTTCACCAGCTTCTCGCGCAAACAGCTCAGCCAAAATGGAGCAGGTCGCTGGACACACAGAGGCTGCCCGCGGGATGCACTCTCCCGGCCAGGACAACTAGTTCTCAGCCTTTTCCCGGCCCTTGGGAAGGGTAGGACTTTCCTCCGCGGTCTGCCGGCGACCTACGGCCCTCCCCCGCGCCTGCGCAGAACCGCCAGCCCTCCAGCGACCCGCGTGCGAAGGACTTCCGCGCTCACCCACTCACCCGCTGGAGGGGTTAAGTAAAGACGATTGGCTTGTGAGTTCCAGCACCCAGACCCACGCACTCCTTAAAAACGACCCCCGGAGTAGCTCAGCTTGCTGTTTCCCCACATTGCGACAAAGGATCCCACCCCTTTTCCGGTCCCTCCGGCAGAACATCCCCAACCGGAAGGTTCCGACACCTACTCCCGTCTGCAGCCGACTTTCATGATAGCATGTATGTGTGGCTGTTACTTTCACGCTCAACATCTAGGAAATTGTGCATGCAATGAAACTGTAAAATGTTACTATTACTATGAATGACCTTGAAAATCCTGTTAAACCAACTAATGTACGAATACTTCAAACCACGCGGTCAGAGTAGACACCAATCATGCTTTAACTTTGTTATGTGGTCTTTTATTCCCATCTAGCCCTAGTTCAAATTTATCAGCTGTCTTCTCAAGGACATTTATATTCCTGTAAGACACTGATCCTAAGGGTCAGAATCACAAAAGTGCGGAAGCACTTCTTCTCTAAGGGTAGTATAATCTTTAAAGGCACTCAAATATCGTTAAGAGGGTTAAAAGTTCAAATTTGAAATTTATTTCCTGAAAATGACCAGTTAATATACTGGACAGTATATACAATATGTAGTAGGAAACTGTTATCAGACTAGGCAAACTTCATTTAGAACTGGGAACATTGGCTCGGCGCCTGTGGCTCAAGCGGCTAAGGCGCCAGTCACATACACCTAAGGTGGCGGGTTCGAATCCCCAGCCCGGGCCCGCCAAACAACAATGAGGGCTGCAACCAAAAAGTGGCCAGGCGTTGTGGTGGGCGCCTGTAGTCCCAGCTACTTGGGAGGCTGAGGCAGGAGACTCGCTTGAGCCCAGGAGTTGGAGGTTGCTGTGAGCGTGATGCCATAGCACTCTACCCAGGGGGATAGCTTGAGGCTGTCTCAAAATAAAAAAAATTTAAAAAAAAAGAACTGGGAACATTGATCCTTTAACATTTTACTTTTAAATGTACAAAAAGCCTTTCCTTGGATAAGAACAATGATCAATCTCCAACAATGAAGGCAAAAATTTTATATTTTCAACAGGCAGGGTCAAATTGGTAAAGCTCTCTTAAAATCACTGAATTGTACTACTCAAGAATAGTCTTTTACTTATGGCTCCTTAGCTAAAATATTGACCTCTTCCTAAGAATGTGGCTGCAGACTTTTCAGTTGCTATGTCCTCTTCAGAGCTCCTCTCTCCTTAGATACATGACCATCTCTCCATATGAAGGCAGAAAGTTCTGCACAAAAGAAAATTTAGCATGTGTTGTATTTGTTGGAGTGACAGATCAAGGAAAAAGCAAAATGCAAGTATGATAAAATGAAGTTTTAAGAGCTTTATTTAAATATACTTTGAATGTACCACATCTCACTAAGCTTCAGAGCCTTCTCCATTTTCAGCTCCACAAGAAAAGAGAATTTGTGATTTGCCTTAACACTGACAGGAAGCAAAGGCCTCTTGAACCTCTAGAACTAGTTTGACTAGGCTTTGCAAACTAGTTCATGGTACTTTTGTATATGTACTGTGTTCTAGTACTATGTATCAACAAAAGGCTTTTCCATTGTTAAATCTGAGGTGTTAAAAGAGTCTTGTTAGCTGCAATGCAGTATAAGGCCGTCATTGGAGATTATTTTGCAGATTATTGCTATTGTCTCATCCATAAAGGTGTTTTTAATACTTTGTAATTCAACTTCATAATTTTATATATTTTTAAAAATTTCAAGTTAAGGGTATACTGCTTCCTTACAGCTAGACTTTCATCCCTTTGAAATGCTACACTACTACATCCAGTTTAACTGGTTTCCTTATTCACTCAAAAATTCTACATTAAGTTGGTTAAGTTAAAATAATTTTATAATTTATACTATCATAATCACAGTGTGGCAGATTTAACCAATCTGCGCTTACAAGAAAACTGTGTGGATGATACCTGATAAATTTTTATGGCATAAACATAACTCATGTACGTAATATTTCAAGAGCTAATTAAAAGCCCATTTTCTCTTTAGATTTCAGAAATGACAGGCAATTCTACTTAAAACTGTAAACTTAAGGGCTAGCTATCTTCTTTTTTTTTTTTTTTTTTTTTTGAGACAGAGCCTCAAGCTGTCCCCCTGGGTAGAGTCCCGTGGCATTACAGCTCACAGCAACGTCCAACTCCTGGGCTCAAGCGAGTCTCCTGCCTCCGCCTCCCAAGTAGTTGGGACCACAGGCGCCCGCCACAACCCCCGGCTATTTTTTGGTTGCAGCTGTCATTGTTGTTTGGCGGGTCTGGGCTGGATTCGAACCCGCCACCTTAGGTGTACGTGGTTGGCGCCTTAGCCGGTTGAGCTATAGGCGCCGAGCCAGGGCTAGCTATCTTCAAGACAAGATTTGGTAGAAATAAATTCCTCCCTTAAACAAATGAATAAGTTGAAGCTCACAGTCATTTGGCAATTTGCCTAAAACACATCAAGTAGCAAAGGCAGGTCCATCCAACACACTTTAAACTGTACAGTGACATATCACTTAACAGTGAGGATATGTTCTGAGAAACTTCTTAGGCAATTTTGTTGTGGTGTGAACATCACCGAGTGGACTTACATAAACCTAGATGGCAAAGCCTACTATGCACCTAGGCTACAAATCTGTACAGCATGTTACTGTACTGAATGCTGCAGACAACATGCATAGGTATTTGTGTCCCTAAACATAGAAAATATGCAGTAAAAATACCATACTATACTCTTATGGGACCACTGAACATTGTTACATGGCAGATGAATGTACTTAATAATTTTAGAAACTAAAATAAATGAAAATATTTTAAATTGTGTGAGAGGGAAAAAAAAAAACAAAACTCAGTTTAAATGTGAAGATTTCCATAAAGCAATACTACAAGGACTTTGGACCTAATTATTTCCATGTAAAAATTCCCAAATATGTAAAAACTTTCTTACTACAAGTATACTTCCTATATATTTTTTTAAAGAATCAAAATAACTCAGGCACTAAAAATAAAGTATGCTTAGGAAATTTACATATTTGGTGTTATACCGTTAAAAATTTACAGTAAAAAAGACATTTTACAATGGCAGAAAAAATATACACTAATGAGATTCCACACCAATCTTTATTTATATTTTGGGGCCTGAAACAAATCTTGTAATTACCTCTTTAAAATTACATTTTATTTCATTAGTGGTGTGGTTTACCCCCCACTCCACAAAAACAAGTACGACTAATACACTAGAAATATTTTAAAGAGAACCTCTGGAAGAAGACATTTTTTATTAACCAATCCAGACCAATGATAGCTCAAAATTAAATATATTCATTTTTTAGAGGAGTCATTTTAGAAAAAAATTTCATAACCAAATCATAAATCTAATTAACTTATGTGTAAGTTTTAGCATTCACATTCTTAAATCATGGAGACCCTGCTTTATAAAATCTTACCACTCAAGGTAAATTCTACATCACATGTCAAGAAAATAATGAATTTCTAAATTTTCAATAAAAATCTGAAAAACTCAAATATGAATTATAACACTCGCGTATCTAATAATCACATCATGACGGATAAAAGAAAAATCTACAGATTTAACTGATAAAAAGCTTGCAAATTATGGCAGAGTAAATAAAACTGTGAAATATTACTTTTGGATCTAGTTCACATCCTGCCCAAAAATGTGCATATCATAGGCCAAAAGAATTTTTCTGTAGTATTTTATTTTGAAAATATTTCACTTCAAGATTGATCTAAAAAACATTTTAAGATATGAAAATGTTATACAACTTATCTATTACAAATTAATGAGATAATTCTGCAATTAGGTACACTGTGTTAACTCACCTACATAAAAAATATTGCACATTTTCCTTTGTCTCCAGATGTAACTGATGTCTACACTATATAGAATTCCAAACTATTTTAGAGTTATCCTGTGCAATGTCATCTTTATAAATATCAGAACTAAATGCACTGTAAACAGCCAGTTTGGTAAACATGCATTTATTCACAGTTGATTTATTTCCTTTAGATAAATGCATAACTACTCAAAATTCTATAAGAACCTATGGAGAGGTACAAGAGCACACTATATAAAATATTTCTATCTTGAGAGAACACTGATCTTGGCAAAAATTTGGTATTATTTTTAAAATGAACTATTGCTGGTAAAAAGGCATACTTTAAAACTTTTCTGTGTCCTGTACCTGCTTTTTTTTTTCCTTCTTAAAACTTAGAAGCATTTGTTTGGGGAAATTAATCTATTACTGCATAAATGAGTAATCATATGAAAATGGACCCTGAAAGCGGTTGAGCACTTAAGTTAAAATGCCTTGAGAGCACCGCACTCCTAAGTTATGAATACCTAGAATACTCACTGATCATAATTTTAAGAAACTGATAAAATCAGAGTACTTTAATGTTATGAAATTGACACAAACCTGCATTCCTGCACATACAGCATTCCTCTATTGAGTTGAGGTCATATTATACTTTAAAAATATAAATAAATATATTGAATCATGAGGCTTATTTCTATAATAACCTTAAAGTGTTTAAATATGCTTTTAAAACAGAAGTGGATGAGTGCTGAATAGAATTCTAGATTTGACTGTTAGCATCAAACACAATTGTTCCTTACAAATAACTCTATGGGTATACTGACTTGATTGACTGCAGCGATTGCATTTTACAGGAGAGAACCATACTTTATACACATAAAGAATATATTACTGGAAAATCCCCCAAATAGAAAAGTTTAGAAAACTGTCAAATGCTTCCAAATGAAAAGTAAAGATCTGATTTCTTAGCCCACTTCCACACCCTTAAAGTTGGAATTTGACAAAAGTTCATGGGTACAATTTACAAACTTTGACAAACTATGAAGTTAAAACCATTTTCTTTGGGGGTGGTAAGAGGAAGTACCTTTAAAACCTGTTATACAAAATTCCAGCTGCCTTTTTATAAAAGTATGTTCTTTAGACTGAAATCATAAAATTAAGGTGCAAGAATTTAACAAAAATGAACTAAAGAGCTTTATTGACGTCACAGTACATTCAAGAATAATTTTGAGAACATTACAGCTGAAAGAGAATGGCATGTTTATAGTCTTATTATGCACTATTTTTTTTTTTTTTGGAAAAAATGTAATACAAAGAAATCCTATTAAGTAACTTGGAGCAGCATTGAAAAAGTACACCTATTTACAGATTAAAAAAAAAAAAAAAAAACTCTGGTTTCACCTACACAGCCACAATGTGCCTCTATAATGAGACAAGCCCTTAAAACTCATGGAATTTTTTAAACAACATCAATGGCATTCTTGCCACATCATTCCTCAGCGTTTACGACGGGGAGGGGTTGTTGATCTGGAAAAAAAAAAAAGGGAAAAGACAAAATTTAAAAATAAAAATGTATTTTAAACAAAAAATATGCAATTTTAAATAAATAATATTATATAGGATTTCTAACATTATTTAAAACTATGATTATTTATCAAGTACCAAACTGAGTTTATTAAAGAGAGAGAGAAAGGACACTTTCAACTTTGAATAAATTCAGTCAAATTTTTTTAAAAATCAGACAAAATACTTTAAAAAGTATACTACCTTGATCGGGACTTAGACTTGTGTTTGCGGCTTGCCTTCTTACCAGACCTTTGAGATTTCTCCATGGATCGCGATCGACTATGTTTAGGCTTCTTAGCCTTCTTTTCTTTGCTACTTCCTGGAGATTCAGAACTGCTCCTTCCACTAGAATCAGAGCCTGAATGTTTTTTACTATCTTTGGTAGTACTTTTCTTGCTATCTTGTCTAGAATCATGTCTTATGATTTTAACAGAGATAGAACCACTCCTAGAGAATGTTCTTTCACTTTCTCGTTTCCTTTTTAACCTATCATCCTGACTACTGAACTTAAAGTCTTTTTCTTCCCTTTTTTGTTTCTCTTTCCTTTTATCTTGTTCACGCTCCCTTTCCTTATCTTTCTTTTTCCTATCTTTATCTATACTTCGACTTCTCTCCTTTTTTCTCTCTTGTTCTTTAGCCTCACCTTTATGCTTATGACTGCTCCCACTAAGATTTCCACGTTGATCATCAATTTTACGCCTATCTCGACTCCTACTGCGACTGGAACGATTGGTTCGTCTATCCCTTGAGCGACTTCTACTTCTACGCCTCTCTCGGGAAGGACTCCGATTTCGCCGTCTTTCTCTTTCAAGGCTATTTCTATTAGATCTCCTCCTATCTCTCATCTTTGCCCTAGTCCTGCTGCTCTCTATTTTAATTCTGCGAGAGTAGCTTCTACTCCTGCTGCGTCTAACTTTCATTGTTGGAGATCTGCTCCTGCTATGTCTCTTTTTCCTCTTAGGAGAAGATGACCTAGAAGAAGTACGACTACTACCTGAGCTAGAACTGTATGAAGAGCTAGAGACAGTACTGCTAGTACTACTGGTTCTGCTGTTGCTACTGGAACTACCACTACTAGAACTTCCTGATCTACTCCTTCCTTGTTTCTCTTTTTCTTTATGCTCCTTTTTTGGTTCTAAATTTGATATTTCATTTGGAGTTCTCTTCTTTTCATTAACCACATCACCGTCTGCTTCTCTTGCTTCTAGCAGTGATAAACTATTTTGCTCTTTATGCATAAATTCATTCATTTCTTTTGTAACCCTTTCTGTTTGTTGCTTTTCTTCTGAAACAGAAAGACAAAAAAAAAAAAAAAGCTAAGAAAATTACAAGTAAAATGAAAAACTCCCATACTACCAAATTTTAAGCTAACAGAATAAGAGTGAAAGCCACATAAATAATCACAATTTTTCCAGAAGCTACATTAATAAAAAAATAAAAATTAATTTCAGTATTTTATTAACTCAGTATAATTTAAACACATAATGAATTGAGAAGAATAGTAACATTCTAATGGGTTTTTTTAATGGAGAATCTTCAAAATCTAATGTATATTTTTATTCCCACATCTCAATTTGGGCGACCCACATTTCTTTTTTTTTTTTTGAGACAGAGCCTCAAGCTGTCCCCCTGGGTAGAGTGCTATGGCATTACAGCTCACAGCAATCTCCAACTTCTGGGCTCAAGCGAGTCTCCTGCCTCTGCCTCCCAAGGAGCTGGGACCACAGGCGCCCGCCACAACGCCCGGCTATTTTTTGGTTGCAGCCGTCGTTGTTTGGCAGGTCCGGGCTGGGGATTCGAACCTGCCACCTTAGGTGTACGTGGCTGGCGCCTTAGCCGGTTGAGCTATAGGCGCCGAGCCGACCCACATTTCAAATACCCAACCACTACATATTAGTTACCCTCCTGGACAGTGTAGTAATAGAGTATCAAAATGTAGAAGTGGGCTTGGAGCCCATACCTCAGTGGTTAGGGCTGGTCACATACACCAGGGCTGCTGGGTTCAAACCCTGTCTGGGCCTGCTAAACAACAATGACAACTACAACAAAAATAGCTGGGCACTGTGGCAGGAGCCTGTAGTTCCAGCTACTTGGGAGGCTGAGGCAAGAGGATTGCTTAAGCCCAAGAGTCTGAGGTTGCTGTGAGCTATGACACCACAGCACTCTACCAAGGACGACATAGTGAGACACTGTCTCAAAAAAAAAAAAATGTAGAAGTGCATATGAAGCAAGCAAGAAAGAAAACATTTCCCTTTGTCCAATTCAAGTCCTTTAAAAATAAGTGAATTTATAGAGAATTTTAAACTATTAACTCTGCTAACTCAATAGTTACCTTTCAAATTGCCAAACACGATTATTTAAAGAAGAAATTCTAAACAAATACCATTTTCATGACTCCTAGCATTACTGTATAAACTCTTAAAAACTGTACTCACATAAAGCATTTTTTTTTTAATTTTTTTTAGAGACAAAGTCTCACTCTGTCACCCTTGGTAGAGTGCTGTGGCATCATAGCTTACAACAACCTCCAACTCCTGGGCTTAGGCGATTCTCTTGTCTCAGCCTCCCAAGTAGCTGCGACTACAGGCGCCTGCCACAATGCCCAGCTAGTTTTTGTTGCAGTTTAGCCTGGGCTGGGTTCAAACTTGCCACCCTCAGTACATAAGGCCAGGATCCTAGTCACTGAGCCACAGGTACTGCCCACATAAAGCATTTTAAATAAAAAAAAACTAGGTCTCTATGACCCTTAAATATCCTACTTAACAATTTTTTTAAAAACATACTTACATGGAAGAAAGCATGTCAATTACTTTTCATTATTTTTTATTTATTATCATTTCAGATTAATATAAGGGTACAAACAATTAGATTACAATGTTTGCATTTGTTGAAGCATATTGTTTTTCATTTTTGAGACAGGATCTTACTCTGTCACCTGGCCTACAGTGCAGCGTTATCATCATGGCTCACAGCAACTTCAAACTCCAGGCTCAAGCGATTTTTCTGCCTCAGCCTCCCAAGTAGCTGGGACTACAGACAGCTTAAAAATATAAGACAGTTTAAAAATTTTTTTAGAGATGGGATCTCACTACGTTGCTCCGGCTGGCCTCAAACTCCTGACCTCAAGAGATCCTCCTGCCTTGGCCTCCCCAAGTACTAGGATTACAGGTGTGAGCCACCACACCCTGGCTGCTGAATTACTTTTCAATAGTTTTACAAATACATTTTATTTCCTCATTCAAAAAGTCTTTTTCATTTCAAGAATTTTAGCAAGAAATAAAAATGTCCTAAATACCTATGGCTCCTAAAACAAATAAAATATTATAACCTTAATTTCAATTATATCACATACTGTTTATAATGTAGCCTCAATTCTATCCTTTGATATTTTTAGGTTGCTTAAAAAGTAAAAAGAAATACAAAACTGGACAAAATGTACATAAGTCTAAAAGGTATACCTTCCATTTGTTTATCATGTAATAGCTGCTGTTCTTTTTCTTTTCTCCAAAAAGCTTCCTGTTTTTGCCGGATTCGGTGCCGTAATTCTTCATCATCAGTGTCAGATGACTCAGAGCCTCTGTCACTCCTCTCATCTTCACTGTCTCCTGATCCATAACCACCCAGTCCACCTGTGTGCATAAAGCTCAGTCTATCATATGAAAAAATTATACTAAGCATTAAAAACTTTTTAAGGTCCAAGAAGAAAGCTCATTTCTTTTTTCATTGCCTTTTCCTGGAAGAATATGCTTACTTGGGGTGGGGAGAAGTATAAATTCAAAGGCTTAGGAGTTCATAGAACCCTCAGACAATGGTTACTTAGTATCTTCTTCTTTGGTAATATTTCATATATCTTTCACCATAAAGGAATCATGATAATAGGTTTGTTTTACTGGCCATACTAACCAATAAAACCATTTAACAGGGCAGTAACAAAGCCTCACTAAAGCTTAATCAATTCAACTACCTTAATAAAATTTACAGTGACCCTGAAAATATTTCTAAACTTAACTCATTATACAAAGTTTAGAAATCCCAGGAAGTATACTAAGCATTTTTTTCCTAAAAACATTAGAATATTGTATATTTTGCACTGGTACAGAGGTGATACAGTACTGAAACTACTCCCCACCCTGAAGTAATTTAAATAATCATAACAAAACCATATGGACATTTAGTTCTACCCATTTTTCTTGTTCCTATTCAACAAGATGTGGAAAAGGCAAATTCAAGCTTTTACAGCCTTGATTATATATCATGCAAATAGCAAATTATGAACACATCACTACTGTTACCTATAATAAAATAAACCCTTTCTTCTATGTTTGACTTGGTGCAATGCAATCTATATAAAAGCTATTAAAAGCATTAGTGTTTAGGTTCTTCCCTGAGGCATGTATGCAATTCTGAAAGTGAGCGTAGAAACTATCTATAATGGCTAAATTATGAACTATTAAGTACAAACTATATGTGTATATATATATATATCATCTTAGATTGGAGCAATTAATGAGGAAACCCTCCATTATAACTTGCCCCAATAAACTATGAATTAGCTATTATATTTATAATATTCCCACTGTGAATGGTTTAGTTGAAAAAAAAAAAAAAGGCAAATCTTTTATTGGCTCTCATAATCCTAGGAGCTAGGATTTTATAAACTGAGTAGGAATAGTACACTTTCAAAACAGAACATGTAGAGAGACAAGGTAAGTGTGATTTTCCCGTTAGGCCCTCTCACAAATAAGGAGAACACTTACCAAGTCCAGTGAGGGAAGCCAGTGCACTGGACTGTGCCAGCTGTTTTGCAGGAGCTTTGTATCACATCAACAACAGGAACAACATGTTAACACAAATAGCCACGATTTCATAGTCATGAGAGTCTATGGTATTGTTAAATCTACTACTATTGCTGCTTTGTGGGGAGAGAAGAAACATTAAAAACACAACATTCATTTTAAACCAGTAGCATGTCTGGCTTTGAAATTATAATTCTGATGTGAGCTGCAATTGGTTTATAGGGAGGAAAAAAGTTGACCCCCTACTATATCTGTATTTCTATTTCACAGATATTTAATTTTTGTTTTCAATACATTTTTAAAGTGTTACTAAAAAAATGAGGGATCACTTGCATCTGTAAGAATTGTAACTGGTAAACTGTGAAAACCATAGGTTCATAATTCAAAATTTATTAGTGAAAATAAATTGTATTAGAAGTCTTACACCAATACCATGGTATCTTTAAAAAAAAAAAACCATGTGAAACAAATTGAATGTCAGAAATTTTTCAGAATACATTTTAGAGGACAACATTATGATTGTGAATTTGTACTCAGGTACGTCAGATAAAACAAAAATATTTGTATTAAGTTTAATAAGGTGTCTACAAATCTAATCTTTCCCAAATAGATAAAACATGCAAGAAGAGAATATTCAACTATCTGATAGTAATTCAACAAGGACAACAAAAAAAAAGTCCAAAATAGTCACCAAAAACAAAATATCCCCAGAAAAACAAAACCAATTAACACCCACAATATACCTTTCGTTGCTTTCCTGTGTGCATCCTTGGCTACATAATAAATTTCTTCATCTGTGACATCCAGTAGAATTTCAGTCAGAAGCATTTTTGTCAGCAACATCTAAAAAAGATTATTTTACATACTATTTCTAATTATTATACTATTATACTATTTCTAATTATAATATATTTACTATAATATAATACAATTATAAATTATAAATATAAATATAATTATTATATTTATTTTTTGACATTTTCAAAAAATTTAAGATGCAAAGCCAGTTATAAAACATTTTTAAGAGATCAGGTCAGCCATTCCAAGGAAGAGAATATCTCATATATTATTCTAAAGTATTAAACATTAAAAAAAATTTCAAGGCTCAGCGCCTGTAGCTCAAGCAGCTAAGGCACCAGCTACATATACCAGAGCTGGCGGGTTAGAACCAGCCGGGCCTGCCAAAACAACAATGACAACTATAAACAAAAAATAACCAGGTGTTATGGTGGGCGCCTGCAGTCCCAGCTACTTGGGAGGCTGAGGCAAGAGAATAGCTTAAGCCCAGGAGTTGGAGGTTGCTGTGAGCTGTGATACCACAGCACTCTACCCAGGGTGACAGCTTTAGACTCTGTCTCAAAAAAAAAAATTCCAAGATCATTTGGAACAATGAAATTATAAATTTATCTATACAGTAAAGCCATTAAATTCTTCTAGAGATAAAATATTTTAAAAAGTCCCTACAGGCTCAGTTCCCAAAGTTCAGTGGGAGCCAGCCACATACACTGAGGCTGGCGGGTTCAAGCTCGACCTAGGCCTGCTGAACAACAACTACAACCAAAAACTAGCTGAGCACTGTGGCAGGCGCCTCTCGTCTGAGCTACTTGGGAGGCTGAGGCAAGAGAATCACATAAGCCCAAGAGTTTGAGGTTGCTGTGAGGTGTGACGCCACAGCACTCTACTGAAGGCAACAGTGTGAGACTCTAACAAAAAAAATATTCCCTACTAATAAAAAGTTTTAAAGGTGTTTTTAATCTACAAAATATTCCTTCATTTAATAATATTAGTACAAATTAGCATAAATTACTTCTCAGCATTAGGTTAAAAATCTGAGAGAGGAAAAAAAAAGAAAAATATGAGGAAAAGGATGTTACTTAATTTTAACAGATAAAGTCCTTTTATTCTTTTCTGGTTATTGCCCAAGTTGGAATGACCCAGCATCAGCCTAGCTCAATCTCAAACTCAAAAGCAATCCTCTTGCCTAGGCCTCCTGAGTAGCAGGGACTTACAGCATCTGCCACAATACTCATTTTTTCTATTTTTAGTAGAGACCAGTCTTACTCTTGTTCAAGCTGATCTTGAACTCCTAAACTCAAGAGATCCTCCAGCCTCAACCTATCAGAATGCTAAGATTACAGACATGAGCCACATCACCTAGCCAAGTCCTTTTATTTTGAATTACAGTAATATACTAATAAACTATAATAGAACCGTTAAGAGTTAACATTATATAAAACGGGGAGTCCGCCTGAAATAACAGATGGACTGTAGTTCAACAACTGTCTGAAACTGTAGACTAACTCTTACTTAGGTTCTAGGCTCCAGATTACTCATCTATTATAACAAGAGTAACTGGGGCGGCGCCTGTGGCTCAGTGGGTAGGGCGCCAGCCCCCAATACTAAGGGTGGCAGGTTCAAACCTGGCCTTGGCCAATCTGCAACAAAAAATAGCTGGTGGTTGTGGCAGGCGCCTGTGGTCCCAGCTACTAGGTAGGCTGAGGCAAGAGAATTGCCTAAGCCCACGAGTTGGAGGTTGCTGTGAGCTGTGTGATGCCAAGGCACTCTACCGAGGGCGATAAACTAAGACTCTGTCTCCACAAAAAAAAAAAAAAAAAAAAAAAAAAAAAGGAGAAAAAAAAAAAATCCTTTCCACAAAAAAAAAAAAAAAAAAAAAAAAAGAGAGAGTAACCATATCAGCATCTCAATACATTTCAAAGATCTGGTCTTTCAATACAGAAAACATATCATATTACATTCCTAATCTCAGGAAATGGCAATAAACATATATATTATAAATAATAATGACTCTGAGAATTCTTACAAGGAGGAAATACGTTTAAGTTTTTAAGCCTCATGCTTCTGAACATGAATTTTCGTTCAACCTTTCTTGATATTTCTATTTAAAAAGCACACACTTTAGCTCAACTGGCTAAGGCGCCAGCCACATACACCAGAGCTGGCAGGTTCTAATCCAGCCCAAGCCTACCAAACAACAATGACAACCACAACCAAAAAGTAGCTGGGCGTTGTGGCGAGTGCCTGTAGTCCCAGCTACTTGGGAGGCTGAGGCAAGAGAATCGTTTAAGCCCAGGAGTTTGAGGTTGCTGTGAGCTGTGACGTCATAGCACTCTACCCAGGGCAACAGCTTGAGGCTCTGTCTCAAAAATAAATAAATAAATAAATAATAAAACAATTAATGTTTTTTAGGGTCTTGTAGAAAAAACTGTTTAATCACAACACCAGTATCAGGAAATGGGCTTAAAAATTGCTTTATAGGTTGTGATTTTAACTGTTACCTAAATTCCAGATATTTGTTCAGCAAATTCACATATGAATAAACATTTAAACTCTTTCAGAGTATTCAGCTTAAATGTTTAAGATAGTCAAGCAATCGTTTAAAGAACTATATAAATAAATCCTGGCACATTAGAAGAAACTTAACATTCTACCATTTGATACTCTTTCTCTTCTTCAGTCATCTCTGGTTCACTCTGCTCTTCTTGAGGAACTGGCGATGGACTTCTGGTGACTTTCCCACTACTTGCAGCCTCAACATTTTCATTGTCTTCATCTTCTTCATCACTATCCTGTAAGAACAGTATGACAGCCCAAATTAATGTTATGTAACAGAAAATCCTTATCTTTCATATCAAAACTTTAAAGCTCCAAATTAAAAAATCTACGAAACAGAAACTGCTCTCTAAATTACATCTTTGTATACAGATTTCAGTTGACTAGTTATAAAGTTTAAATTACCTGAAAAGATATGTTAAGATTACAAGATAGCTGATGGCAACCAATTATTTTTTCAATTGTCTTTTTTCCATAATCACTTTTGACCTTACTTTGTAAATAATGAGGAAAACATACCTCATCAACAATGGTTTTGAAACGAGTGGCTTGCAGAACTTCAGATACAGACCATGGAAATACATTATTCAGTGTAACTTTTCAGCTATGTAAGAAATGAGGTCTACTTCAAATTGAGGCAATGACAGTAGTCTGTCCTTGTCTTAGACATGTTTAGGTTTCCGTATCCACAGCTAAAAGTATCTCATAAACACTCTTAACAACCTTACTATGTAAAAAGCAAGATGACCACCTGAAGCAGGGGGGAAAATACATGTAACACGAGCCCAAGGGCATCTGGAAGGAAAAGAGGATAGTCTCCAATTTGTTTGACACTTAAAAAATAAAAAAGGAAAGACAAAGTTTAGTAGTATTTTTGATTTGTTTTTATTTTCATAACATACAGAACAAAAAGATACAGCTTTGGCAATGGGTTGTTTTTTTTTTTTTTTTTTT